CGTAAACCCTACCACAGCGGGCGCACCGAGTTCTAAATCAACCACACAAGAAGTCGCTTCACGCGAAGTACGACGCCACCCACAAACCCTGGTGTGAGGTGGCGCCATCTTAGCATGGACTATCGGCCACTGCGCAGCAAGACGCCCTAAACCCTAAACCCTAAACCCTAAACCTTGGGTTTAGGATTCTCTTCTGGGGTTTCATAGGGTGCTAGGTTAGAGGCCCTGAGGCTCCATGTACCCCTATAGTAGATACTTAAGCCTTAAAGTACCAATATAGGGACCCCTTTAAGGCCTAAGTATCTACTATAAAGGTACATGGAGCCTTTGGGAGGGTTACTAGGGTTCTGAGGCGTTGGGATGGTGAAGAAGGCCCGGATCTTCGGCAGAAGAAGGGGCGTAGAGAGCTGAAGGGGTTCTGGGGTTTCGGGGTTTCGGGGTTAGCGTCTATGGAGGGTTCTGGGTTTTGGGGTTTAGGAGTTTAGGGGTGAGCGTTTGAGGGTTTATACAGTTTAGGATTTCGAGTTGAGGATTTAGGAGTTTAGAGGGGTGATGGAGCTGAAAGGGTGCTTTCTTCAAGAGGGTTTCGTATGATCTTTCATGGTTCTTTAGGCTTCGGGTGCAGAGTTTCGGCACTTCGGGTTGACGTTATATAGAAGAGAAGCCTCGAGCATAAGTTGTGGGTATAGGGCTCGAGGGACTTTTTCGGATGTTACGGGGCTTTATGACCGGTTTTGCAGGCTTGGGAATGAGGGTGAAGTGTTTAAGGATCTAGGGCTCACAGGTTTTAGGGGGCTCATAGGGGTTCAAAGTTCAAGGGTTCCCAGGGTGTAGGGGCTTGCAGACTTAACACCGTGGGGGTTTCAGGGGTGTGAGGGTTTAGGTGTGTCCGAGGGATGTAAGGGTTCGTAGCCGGATCTTCAAATCTTGTTCGTGCCCCTTGCTTCAACAAAAAGTTTGAACTGAATTTAAACCCTAAACCCTCAACCATGAACCCTAATTAGGATGGTCTAGGAATTCAGGTTTGGGGGTTGGCGAAGCTGTGTCGAGCTCGGGAGCCTAAAGGGATGTGAAGATGAGGGCTTTGCAGGCATAGTGTCTCAGGAGCCCTGAACAAAAGCCAACCCTAAACCCTACCCCCACTTCTCAAAAAAAAGAGGACCCATTCACATCCTCGGCTTCCACATCGAACTAAATACACATCTTGCTGCTCCATCCAGAAGTCTGAAATCCGCAAGTCCCGCGCTTGTGAGCACTGTACAAGTCTATCGCAACACGCCACTTCGGTGAAGAGCAGTCTAGCTTATGTTGCATCTCTTCGAAAGGGCGATGGTCTGGTGACCTCGTTAACGAATGCATGGATATTGCCACTGCTCCACTTGCCCAGATCCAAACATTACCCGAAGGCCGAAGGCATACCACACGTGGGATGAAGACTGAGCAACACACCCTCGCAAGAACGGAACCAGGGTGCCGCACCGTCGTCAACAAGAAGGCATAGACCATGAAGTAGCTAAAGGTGGCCATGTTCGTCGCCAAACACGCGCGGCCTCCCGCTGGAGGGTCGAACTCTGGGTCCTAAGCTCTTGACCCTATCTATCTGTCTGTCTATCGATCTACCTATCTAAAGACATATGTACAGTCTATTGAATATTTACCTAATACATACATACATGCATGCATGCATGCATGCATTGCATTGCATTGCATTGTATTACGTTGTATTGCATTGCATCGCATTGCATTGCTTTGCCGTACATTACACACATTACATTTCATTGCGTTACATTACATTCCAAAAAATAAATAACACTGCACGACACTACACTACACGCATCCATCCATCCATCCATCCATCCATCCATCCATCCATCCATCCATCCATCCATCCATCCATCAATCCATCAATGCATGCATGCATACATATATACATACATACGTACAAAAAGCACCGACTGCGCAACTCAACCCTGTACAAGCATATATTCTATCCGTAATCACGGAGCCCGAAAAAGCCTTAACCAACCGTAAGATCACATCACGAGGACCTACCTGCAGTTGGGTACGATGGCGAGAGTTGCCAGTCGCTATAAGGAAAAGCATTACAAATGATCCCGACCCCTATGTTGACACCATTTATGTCCTCAAGTATGACACGGTTAAAGCCCTATGAACTCCAAAAACACTCCGTCAACCATACATGACATAGCATGGTTTCCATAGTACGGTTCTGGGGCGCCAAAGCCTTAATTAAACCCCAAACCCAAAAGCTTTGAACTACGATGCATGTTTAGAGTCGTGAGGGTAACGCCCAAGCCTTTTGTAGCATGGTTTCGGGGGGGCCCCAAGCCTCAAATCTCAAACAACCTAAACCCCCAAAAGCAGGTGAAATAATGGCTCAAAACCTAGAAAGGGCTATGATTCTACATACTTTCAAGGACCAGGGATGGGGCCCTTTGAGCCTTCTCGTATCAGATCCGGCACGGTGGTCAGGGAGATGTCGTTCCTGGCGGCACCTCCAAAGCTGCGGAGGGGCTTGGGGATCAGGGGGTCAAGGTCGACGGTAGGGCGGCAAAAGACATGAAAGGCGCAAAGGCTTCGGCGGTTCCTTCGGGCTCCAAGGGGTCTAGGAGTTTCGAGTTTCTGCCCTCCGCACGCGCAAATTCGCATGCAACGCGGCTGTAAGACCCACAGATGGACCAACGAATAACTCCACGTGCCCGCGTAGACCCAAACCCCAAAACCTATAGACCTAGATATTCCAGGATCCTCTGCTCGATGTGTTTTACGCTCTAGGACTAAACCATGTCAGTTCGGGGTTTCGGGTTTAGGGTTTCAGATTTCGGGTTTGGGGGTTTAGGGTTTAGGGTTTAGTAAACCATGTCAGTTGACAGAAGATGTGAGAGAACATGTCATTTAGCTAGATAGATGAGCCCAAGAGTCTTGAAGGATGTCGCGTGCTCTGGGTTCCAAGTAATCCGGCCCCCTGCCACTAAAAACCCTAAGACCTCATCTGTCTGGTGCTTAGTAGGGAATGGGGGAATGGGTTATAGGGATTACTATAAGGGACCTTAAGGGACTACCATAGGGATCCATTCCCCCATTCCCTACTAAGCACCAGACAGCTAAAAACCCTAAGACCTCATTGCACAGTCAGGGTCTGGGATTTCTGGCTTTGGGGTCGGGTCTGCGTTCTAGGGGCTGTTGCCTCCAGCTGTGTAGGAAAGGTTGGTGGGAGTTCAGGCTAATATACAGGGGCCTGAATAATTAGAATAGGGTTTTGGGGTATATTATACTATACATATAATAAGGACCACCCCCCCCAAAAAAAAAAAAAA